AAAGCTGAAATTGATCTTAGGGCTGCATCAGGTTTGTTATTGATCCCTGAACATTTAGCAACTGTAGACTCATTCCTTCATTTCAAAAACATTCATTAGGCACCTACTATGTACAAAACACCTTGCCAGGTGCTGGTGTATAGAGAGCTTCATTTATCATATAGCACTCATCAAGTTGTTTTGGTTTTGTTTTTGTTTGCTTTTGGTGAGGCAATCGAGGTTAAGTACCTTGCCCAGGGTCACACAGCTAGTAAGTGTCAAGTGTCTGAGGCTGGATTTGAACTCAGGTCCTGCTGACTGCAAGGCTGGACCTCTAACCATTGTACCACCTAGCTGCCCTCATTCATCAAGTTTTGATCTTCCTGTTCTTATAATGATCTTACATTGTGAGGTAAGCACAGGACATAGGCCAGTACCCATACTGAATGTTGTAGTAATAGGCATCAGTGAGTGATAGAGTACCCAGTGCTAACGGAATCCCTACAGAAATCTATGCATGTCATGTGTGTTGTTGACTAAGAACTCATAAAAAGATTGCTTCCCATTATTTAAACATATATGGAAAGAGGAGCATGGTTTAGGTAAATTTAAAAGATGCTTCAATTATACACCTTTATATACACAAGGGAGACTGCACATGCTGTGACAACCGTTGTGATGTGTTGCTCATTAATCATGGGGCAGAGTTTAGCACAAATCATACTGAAAGATTAGTTTTACATGTCAATGCATTGGTATTTTTGCCCTGAAGTCAGTGTTGCTTTCAGGCTAATCATGAAATGGTCATGATATAGGAAATACAGAGTGGCTGAAAATACCTCATGCAGACGTGGCCCAGGAGAAATTCAAAGGACTACATTATCTGAATAATAAATTAAAGAGTTATTTGCAATTTTTTTCTAAATATATTTCATTTTAGTGCTTTCATGAAAATTATCCAAGAAACTGGAGATAATTAAGAAAATCATAAAAACAAACCAAACCATGCATGGGAGTGATTTTCAAAGTTGAAGAAAGCTCCTATTGCTTATACTCCATGTGATTGTGCATTATAACACAAACACATATTTGTAGAAGCTATTTTTAAGGGCTGGATGCAGTTGATAGCTTATTTCACTGATCAAGTGGTCCCCTAATCACTCATTTACTGTTACCTATTTACTCTCTTGATTAAACATTTACCAAGCTTTACACTGAAACAGCTGTATATATTTTATTAACTATCAACTTCTATATTCCTTTTCTTCCAGATGGTTCTTCTCTGGCATTTATTTTCCCATAATTGGGAGAAATGGCCAAAGGAGATGTTTGCAAAGTGGCAAATCAAAGAACATATATCTCCTTCTTTAACCCCAAGTGAAAGTCAAAGTGCTTTAAGAAGGAAGCTGGACATAGTGCAAGAAGCCCCACATTGGATGCTAAGTCCCTCACACAATTACAGTGACCTCAGAGTAGGAAGGGAGCTGAACAGCCATCTGCTTTGACCCCCATCCCTACCCCACCTCCCTGCCAAGAATCCCCCTGACAACCTACCAGACAAGTGGTTATCCAGCCTCTCCAATGACAAGGAAGCTAACACCTCAGTGGGCAGGCCGTTCTGCTTTGGGACAGCTTGAAGAGTTATGGCTTTCCCTGAAATCAAGCTTAAATTTGCTTTCACCAACTACTTCTGAACACCTAATGTGGTAATTCATTCTTATTAGCCCTGTCAGAAAGACGATTTAGTACCTGTAAATGTCTATGTACAACTGAACAGCCAGGACATTTCCTAAGAATTACAAAGAAAATGCCCTATTTCGTAAAGAATGCTTTCACACAAATAAGCTTACTTGAGCCTTACAACCACCCTGCAAGTTAGACAATCTCAAGAGATTATGCTCTTCTCCCTACTCTCAGCTCCTTTTTAAACACATTGGCAATCTGAGCCTTAGAAAGTTTCATTGAATTTCCCAGGGTCACCCAGCTAGTAACTTGGAAAGCCAGGACTAAAACCCAGACCTTTTGACTCCAGGTCCTGTGTTCTTTCCATCATACCATGCTGCCTCTGATCTAGAGCCATATCTCTGAATACCATGCAAAAAAATGTGTTTTTGTAATTTTTGTTGATAAGTAAATATTCCATAAATGAAGTAAACATGTTAAGTTCTGTATTTATCATGTCTGTTTTAACTAGCAGCAGTGTTCAGACATTTTCAAGGCCAAGGAAAAGTCAACTTTTTCTGATTAAAAAAAGATTTTGTTCTTGGACGGAAAATGGTTTGCCATCAGGAAATGAGAAACAAAGAAATGTGCGAAAGCAACTACTCAACGAGTCACTCATTTGATGAGATTACGTTTTTTTGGTATGTGAGCAAATAATGTCTTGATTATCCAGTACCGCTAGAACAAAATGAAAAAAAAAAAGCATGTGTGTATGTGTGTGTGTGTGTGTGTGTATGTATGTGTATATGTTTTTTGGTGGGGCAAGGATTTCTTTTGTGTGGGAAACCCCCTTCTCTGCTGCAGATTGGTGACTCTTCTGGGGCACTGTCCATGGTCACCCAGCTGGTATGTGGCAGGGGGAAGACTTGATCCCTAGCTGTCTTGACTCTAAGGCTGGTCCTCTATCTGCTAAGCCACACTTACTAATAATGCAAGCAAAACCATATGGAAGAAGCTTAGTTCTTATTAGTCAGTCAATTGGCATGCACTTATTAAGTGCCTACTATGGGCCAAGCACTGAGTTAGGTGCTGGGTTAGAAAGACAGAAATGAAGTCCCTGCCTTAAGTAAACTTCCATTGTTATGACTCCACATTAAGTCTGAAGAAACAGACATGATCTGTAAGGTTCTTTTCTAATTCATCAGTCAGAATTTAAAAGGAGAGAGAGAGAGAGAGAGAGAGAGAGAGAGAGAGAGAGAGAGAGAGAGAGAGAGAGAGAGAGAGAGAGGGAGAGGAGAGGAGAGAGAGGAGAGGAGAGGAGAGGAGAGGAGAGGAGAGGAGAGGAGAGGAGAGGAGAGGAGAGGAGAGGAGAGGAGAGGAGAGAAGAGAAGAGAAGGGAAGAGAAGGGAAGAGAAGGGGAGAGAAGGGAAGAGAAGGGGAGAGAAGGGAAGAGAAGGGGAGAGAAGGGAAGAGAAGGGGAGAGAAGGGAAGAGAAGGGGAGGGATGGAGAGGGGAAGGGAGGGGAAGGGAAGGATGGGGAGGGGAAGGGAGGGCAGGGGAGGGGAGAGAAGAGGAGGGGAGGGGAGAGGAGAGGAGGGAGGGGAGGGGAGAGGAGAGGAGAGGTGAGGAGAAAGAAGAAAGGAGAGAGAGAGAAGAAAGGAGAGAGAGAGAGAAGGAAGGAAAGAGACAGAAACACAGAAGAAGAGAAAGAAGTGAGGGAAGAGAGAGGAAGAGAAAGAAGAAAGGAGAGAGAGAAGAGAAAGAAGAGAGGGGAGAGACAGAAGAGAGAAAAGAGAGGAAGAGAAAGAAGAAACAGAGGAGAGGAGGAGGAGGAGGAGGGGAGAGAAAAAGATAGATAGAGAGAGAGAGAGAGAGAGAGAGAGAGAGGAAGAAGGGGGAGGAGAACCCATCCTCCAGCCCCAGAGACCAGGGATTCATTACCCACATTTTTGGCTTCCATGTTTTGATAATCATCCTCTCTCCTTGGTTTCAGGATCATTCAGAACAGGATGCGAAAACAGCAGTGCAATGTTTTTTCACTCTAAGCTTCTGTCCAGAAACTGTGCATTAGACCTCACTCTACCTCGTACAACATTTATGGAAGTTCAGGCTTCCTGCCCTCTGCAACGTGACTTTCCATATGAGGTGTACTTTACTCCAAAATAGGAAATGGGTCAACATGTTTAGTGGGAGTGCACATGGAATGAGGACATCTGCTAAGCAAGCCAGTCAGGAAGAATGTCCAGCGGGCCTTTATTTATGGCCATTAACAATGCATTTCACTTAATGTTTCAAAAACACACTTGGGCTTGGATTTTTTAAATGGTAACAATTTTTAAAAATACTTGAAACAAGAAGGTTCTCAGCCTATAATCTTTTTGTGTCACATAAATTACTGGTTGAAAATGGAACTACTCCCAAGCCACAGATAATCTATTATACTTCAGTAGGTTAGCATCTCTTCAAGGGTGTTTGACAATGACTACATTGACATAGGAACTTAATAGCTCTGCAATCTCCAGCAAGCCAATGTCTCTGGGCCTTGGTCTCCTTATCTGTAAAAATGTTTGTCTTGGGCTAGATGCCCTCTAGGGTCCCTTTTAGCTCTAAATCTGTGATCTTATGATCCTAAGGAAATTCACATTTGTTATTAAAAGGAACCATAGGAGAGCCATGGTCCTCCCTGGGTATCAAAGCCAATTCTATTTCAAGAAACTTCCTGATTCTTCCAGGGTCCAAAACATCTGGCAGGGTGGAGTTCCACCAGGTTGAGGGGGCCACTATAATGCTACACATACATAGTCACATCCTGTCTGACAAAAGATAGCATTCACATAGGTTCTTCCCATATCCCTTCACCCCCAAATATTCTGAATTCTAGCCAGACTGGCTTTCTTGTTATCCTTCAAACATGGCACTCCATGTCTAGCCTCTAGGCCTTTGCACAAGCTATCCCCTATGTCTGGCGCACCTTCTTTCCTTACCTCTAGCTCCCTTGATGATTCTGTTTGTGTATTAGCAGCTATTTTGCAACTTATACTCTTAGGTCAAATGACTTGCCCAGAGTTACACATCTGCCAGCAGCTAGCATACGCCAGAGACAGGATTTGAACCCGCCAGGTCTTACTGATTCTGGCTATCTATTCCAGTGTGCTGCTTTGAGGAACATAGTAGGCACTTAAGACGTATAACTGAATTCACGTCACTCTGTGTATGTGTGTGTGTGCATGTGTGTGAGAGAGAGACAGAGAGAGAGAAGAACAGGAATTCATAGCTTCTATTGCTAGCCATCCAACATTTTAGCAAGGTAGCGAGGCAAGGCATTGACATTCCCCACACACCCATGAGGCGGGCCTCACCTTAAGAGAATCAAAGCAGGCAATCACACGACCGTTCTCCACATGGCAGCTCCGCGATGGATGGGCAAACTTGCATTCTGCATCAGATCGAGAACAAGTACCTCTCTGAAACTCTCGACATACTTCTAGAGTCAGCCATTTTGTATCCCGAACCAAAGACACGTTGACGGCCATTGTCAAAACCAAGGGGGAACTCGCAACTGGACTCTTTCTCGGTTTTTGTTGTTGTTTTTATTTAAGGACAATGTCCCTGCTAATTTTAAAAAGGGTTAAAAAAGGGAATTCAAGTGAACCGTGAAGAAACCAATCTCGTTGCTTTGGTAAAATTCGAGATTTGTCAGCACTCAGGTTTTTGTTTAAGTCCAATCAGGTCTATTCGAAAGAGAATTCAATATAAAGCCAATTGCACAATGGAAATCTTAGCAGGAGAACTGAAAATCAAATTCAAGGCCAGCTCCTAAAAGTGCATTGGGAGGAGGTCCAATAGCGACTGGGGGGAGGGGGGACTGTGCCTCTGCCCCAAGTTACTTGGAAAGAACTAGCAGGCTTTCCAAGGGATTCTATGCTCTCTCCAGTTTAGATGGTTTCAATTATTCTCTGCAAAAAGCATATGTTGTTGGCAGCGCCTCGGTTTGTGGAGGGGCCTGGCCCTTGGGGAGAAAACTTTTTTTTTGTCTTCCTTATTTCTGGCTTTGAAAAAAAAAATCACGGTTGGGAAGCGTTCAAACAAGCGCAAGGATGTTGCAACTGTTTAAATTTAAAAAAGGGGGGGGGAACGAGGGAGGGAAAATGGCCGAGCGAATGATGTGTACTAGGAGGAAAAAATGGATGGATGAGTTGCCGTCAGGATATGAACTAAAAGCAACGCCAAATTTTTTTTAAAGGAAAGGAGTGGGTGGGAGTGGAGGTTCGGGAGAGGCAGCCCTAGAGAGAAATCCAAGTAGTAGAGGTTTCAGGAAAGGCACTTTTCAGTAACCTGCAGATGGAAAAAAAAGAAAAGGAAAGACAAGAAAAGGAATCAGCTGAAACAATATAATTTCCTCTTTTCCAAGTCTCACTTTTCTGAGAGAAGCAGCTCCAGCAATTTCAAACAGGAAACCTCTGGATACTGACAGTGTAGCATGGTACAGTGTGCCATGGGAGCTAAAAGGGCATTTCCCCACATGGAGCTGCGCATGGTAACAGGAAACAACCAATTAGGTTGACTGTTGCAATGGAAGTCTGGGCAGCAGCCCAATAAAAGAGATGGTTTCATATTGATCTCCTCTGGCAGACAGTCATTTTTGTGCCCACTGCACAGAAAAAAAAAGGGAGAGAGAGAAACAAAACAAAACAAAACAGTAGCCTCCCCGGGTCCCACATGGGAGTGTTGGCTAGATGTGGCCCGGGTGATTGGAAGGTGCCTACAGGCTGCCCTCTTGCCAGGCTAGGCCTGGAGTCTGACTGGGCTGTCCGGCCTGCTTTCCAACTCTAGAAAATGGGAGTTACTAAGAAAACTATGACAGAGTGTGTGTGTGTGTGTGTGTGTGTGTGTGTGTGTGTGTGTGTGTGTGTGTGTAGGCTTTTGGAAACACAACTGCCATGGGGCTGAACGCTACTGTCAGAATGCAACTCGATTGAGATATGGGGAAAATCCCCCACCAACGGAGTGTGGAGGCCTTTCTGGAATTTGTGTTGCAGACAAAGATGAACCCCTTTTTAAAAAGGCACTGGTTTCTTCCTCTGTCCATATAATCACTCCCCTGCTACAAAAGGGAAAAATGTGAGAAGTCAAAGGAGTTTCGTTTTATTACATGCATGTCTTGCTCAGTTCAGGCAGTCACACGTTAACTATTGTGCGTCCTCAACACCATTTAACCCGGTGTTAGCCGACAAGCATTTCAAGCAATCCCGAGGTGAATTAAAAGGAGATACTGATGTGTTGATGTGAGCAGAGGATCTGCCCGACTCCTCACGCCCCACCCCCCACCCCTCACATTTTCCTAAAGTAAAAACAAATGAAAAAACATTAACAAACTGTTAACTTTGCTATTCAAACAAGCATACCTATTACTGAAAACAACTTTTCTTTCAGTTAGACGTACTTTCCATAACCTTTAAAGGGAGTCTGTTTTCTATATGTGCTTTTCATTGTTGGGGACAACAGCCCTCATTTACATCACATCACTGTATCCTGAGGTATCCCACACAGTCAATGGGGCTTCACATACTGGTCCCTTTAAGCGCCCAAATTTTTCTATTATAACCACTTAGGCCTTTGATTTTTCTAAAATTTTATTATATGTGCAAATGATCTTGCCTTCTTGAACAGAGGATTCTGAACATAATTTAACCTTTTCTTGATGACTTAGGTTCCTCATTATGAATATACATCATACTGTGTGGTGAAATTGTTCTGTGTCTGCTTCTTAGTATTTCTGCCTTCCCCCTTGATGGTGAACTACCAATTTTCACTTTCTCTACTGCTCCCCACCTCCCCTATCCACTTCTAATTTGCTGTTTTTCATCTATTAGGGGATGAGATACCAGATGAATGAGCTCATTAGAATTTTATGTTAAATAAGAGTCACTAAAGCTCTGAGTGAGTGTCTAAGTAGGCTGTGTTCCAAAAGGTTGAGGTTGCCAAAAAACTAGAGCTTCAGACAAGTCAGGTGTTACTCTATAGTCCAAAAATGAAGTCTGATGGGCTGCTCCAAGGTTTTTGAGATCCCTTCTTAGACTCATTTTAAATACCATAAACTGAAAAAGAAGAACAGTAAATGCAGAAATCCTCCCAAAGGTGTGACTCTAACACACTTTAACTGACTTGAAAAAGGAAATGTTTCCAATCAGCAAGAGAGGACAATGGTTACATTTTTTTTTTTGCCAGAGAAGTTTGGAAATCTATGCTAAAGGTGAAGTCAGAGTAAATCCCTATGCAACAAGAACTGTATGGGCCAACCTTCTCATCAAAGTGTCCACAGGACTAGTCTGGTAAACAGAACAGTCCCAGGCAGATGCTGATCAGGCAGCTTGAGAATGAAGGATAAATCAGAAAGACGTATGTTTCAAGAGATGGAAAATTCAAAAAAGGACTCAGGCCCCTGGCAGTGAGTTGCATGTAAGCACGTATGGAAAGAAAGGGACTTCTCTGAGTTGCAATTCATCCCTATTTCCCCGTTAAAGGAATCTGACACTTTGGAACCTGGACCTAGAGCTCAAATGAAACCTGCGGAACATGTGACTCTAGAGAGATTTTGGAGAGATGTGAATTGGAGAGATTTTGGAGACAGCTTGGAGGAAGCTGACTGTAGCAACTCCAGCAAGCTGGCACAGGTCAGGGGTGGGTGGGGTTCAGGTAAAAAACCTCTCAGTAATTTCTCCCAACAAATTTCCCCATGGTGACAATGGTCCAATTTGGTGACATGGTCAGAATTGTTTTTCTTCTTTCTTTTTTTTCTTTCTTCCTTCCCTTTCTATGTCTTTCTCTTTCTTTCTCTCTCTTGCTTGCTTGTTTTCTCTATCGATATTTCTATCTTTCTTTCTCTTTTATCTTTTTCCTTCTCTATGTCTCTTTCTTTCTCTATCTTCCTCCTTCCCTTCCTTCCTTCCCTTTCCTTTCATCTAGAACTGTAGTCTCAGTGATGAAAGGAACTCCCAGTGAGTAAGTTCCTTCTACTAACGCCAGCAGCTATGCCGCCATTTACAGTCTTGGAGAGTAACTAGAACACTGAGACATGAAGTGACTTGCTCAGGGTCACACAGCCAGTATGTGTCAGAGGCCAGACTTGAACACAGGTGACTCCATAGCTGACTCTCTATTCATTGCATCTTGTTGACACTCAACCCTTGTCTTGTCGACTCTCAACCCTTGTCTTGTCTTAAAATGAACAACTTTGTTTGGAGCCAGCATTAAAGGGCTCTAGGAAATTACATAAGTTATAATGGATCTGAAATATGCCCCAGGGACTTGATTTTCCATGGAGTGTATCAGGAATACCAGACCTAGGTCCAAATTCATTTAGTGACCTTAGACAAGTCCCTCTACCCCTCTAGGTTTCAGTTTCCCCATCTATAAAGGAAGGGCTTGTTTGGTTTCACTGGTCTCTAAAGGCCTTCCCAGTTTCAACGGGCTGAACAATGAGGATCATACCCCAGCAGTGTGAGGCCTGCAGACGTCAGGCATATCTTCACCAAAGGGTACGGCAATGAGAGAAAAGGCATCCAAATGGCTATGTTTAAATCTCAATGTTTTCCCCATAAAAAAGACAACTCAAGACTCTACCTACACACACACACACACACACACACACACACACACACACTCTTTTAGTAGCTTGTTCTCTCCAGGGGGGATTACTGCTAGTTTGTTATTTGCCCTGGACAAGTAGACAAGCAACTGTCTTCCATGAAAGAACGTCATGATTTAAAATAAGAGAGAAAATGGCCTTACAATTTACCAGGCAACTACAGGTCCCTCAAACAACGCTACCAGAGGTGGGTGATGGTAGCGACGGACATTAGAATGGTCTTTTTTGGCCACTGAGTTTCTATAGCCATTCATAGTTTTCTAAACACTTTTCCAAACACTAAGTCCTCACAACCATTCTCACCTGAGCTTAGCAGCACCCCTCATTTCCTCCAAAGCGCACCCATGCTGCCACCTTCAACAAAGACCTTTCCTGATTTTTGTAATAGGTAGCAGTTTCTCCCCTTGAAATGACTTTGCATCCCTCTGTATTGAATTTTCCCTATAACTGGTATCTCTCCTTCAGTAGAATCAGGGACCATCAAAAAATTTTTTTTATCATGGTATCACCAATGCTGGGTATTTAATAATAAGTAAGTACTTAAGAATTGCTTATTGGATTTGATTGAGGCCAAGGGCTGTTTCATTTTTATCTCTAGATCCTCAGGACCTAGGAAATAAAAAAAAAAAATTAAAATCTACCATGCTTTTATTAAGCACCTACTATGTGCCAGGCACTGTTGCTAGGCACTGAGAATCTTGAGACAAAGAAAAAATAGTTCTTGCCCTAGAGAAGCTTATATTCTCTCAAGGAGATGACCTGTCCAAGTGTAAGTAAATAGCAAATTAAATACCAAGAAACTTGGAAGGGGAGCCTAGCAGTCAGGGGGATCTGGAAACAGCTCATGTAGTAGGTGATGGTTGAAGCACCATGGGGCTTTTCACAGAGCAAACAATTAGTGCTTCTTAAATTGGATTGGCTTGGACATGGACCATGGGTTGTATTTCTAGTTAGGGGTGCAAATTGATACCGCTCCCACAATTTGGTTCTTCTTTACCTGGTTCCCACTTATAATCACAAACAAGTATTTCAGATATTGGTCAAGGGTTCGAGATGGGAACTTGTGGCCTTGGGTTCATTATTAAGGAAAGGACACAGGAGTAAATTGGTTGATCAAATTCCTTTGCATTTTGTAAGCTCAAGACTGAAGTTTCTACATGTACATAGGTAAATTTGTGTAGTCTGTATTTCATAAAAGAGAGCCAATACAAACAGCATCTTCTATGTAAATTAGAGCACTAAAACCAGCCATAGTCAGGCCCTCAGCATTTTCTAGGGGTACCAGAGCTCCCCTAAAATAGGACACTCAAGATAACAAAGATGGGGAAGAACAGTTTTGCAGACAGTCAAGGAGAAGGTCATGTAAGAGGAGACATCTCACCCATATTGGTGAATACATCCTATTCTTTCCCCTCTTCTCTTCTTTCTCATACATCCTCCCCATTATCCCCCACTGAAATATTCCATCATTAAGGCTAATCTCAACCAGGTGCTTGGTGATCAACAAGGCGGAATTTGAAGAGGAACAGATGTAATATTCTACACTTAGGTACAAAATTCAATTGTGCAGGTATAAGATGGTAGAAGGTAGGCTTGCTGCTGTTCAGTTATTTCAGTTGTGTCTGACTCTTTGTGGCCCCACTTGGGGGTTTCTTGGCAAAGACACTGGAGTGGTTTGCCATTTCCT